TTTTATATTCCCGCATTTCTGATGTGTTAATATTATATGATTAATTGCAGACTCATAATTAATTACGTTATGACCTGTATGTGCAATATGCTTGTACATGAACAGGAAAGTAGTTACTGCATCCCCCTGTAGAGCTTCCTAAAATAGTTTTATTGGCCCCTCAGAAACACTCTCCTTCTCACTAATACGTATTTCATTATCTTATTGTTATTCTGGAACACTGAATTCTGTAAGAAGAGACGTGGACGAGTGGTAAGGAACCACAGAGTTTCTGGTCTTTTAAAAAGTAATTTGAACTTCTATACGAAGATAAATTATCTGTGTGTTTGGACGTCAGAAACTTTTCTTTTTTATTTCTTTCACGAGGATTTGGTTCACCGAAGTGCGTTCCAATACACAGGAGTTTTAGAATTGGTTTAATCTCTTTTTCTGTGCTTTCTCTCTCGGAATATATGCTACTACTGAAGCCACATTCCTGTCAAACGAACCAACACAAAGCCGAACGAATACTCCGCCGGACCCCACCATCGACACCACTATAACCTCGTTTGCATTTCTTACTTCCAGAGCCGCCATCTTGAGAACTTGTTTCAGTATTCTTCCGCATTGCACGAGCTTTACATTCAAGAGCGACTGAAATGGGCTTAAAAATCATTACCGTGTTAACAAAATCCCGCCGTTGTAACCTCTCCTTTATGATCCATCGAGTGGTTGGCACTCCGGGGCCAAGCAACGTCCATTCCAGTGATAATAACTTGGGCCTTGTACTTCGAGATTCCTTTCAGCACAAGTTCTGCTGCTAATAGATTTCTCTGCCCTGTAACTTCCTGTAGAGAGACGTGTCCGACTGAATTGCGCCTGTACACGCCTTTCACACTAATGGCTGCCACCGCTTGCCAACGCAGTACACGTATTAAATACAATAACGTGACGGTATCACATTGTTTTCCTAAGGAATTAGCGTCAGCTCAAGTGATGCATTATGGGAACTGAGGGACAAAGCTCAGTAACGTTCATTGTCTTCATTTATTGTTTCTCATCTACTGGGGCAGTTGCAACAATTGCCGAGTTGCTTAGTGAGGGCGCTGATTAATTCTGATTACATTGCGAAAGGTGACGTTTTACAAAATTTTCTTAATGGTCTAGCGTCTGTTGTTTTTAACATATCACAATACGACAATGGTCATTTGCTTTATTTATCCAAGAAGATATGCAGTGAGGATACGATTATATCACCTTCTGGGTGTTAATATTAACTGTATTGAACATTCGGATTATGCTACCGTGTTGTTTGCTAGTTACTTTTCACAGTGGTTATGAAATGTTATCAGTTGTTTTAACATTTACTAATTCTTTATCTTACCCATAGAGTGCATTGTTTTCGTGTGGTTCTCGTAATAAACAGCTATTACCGTTCTAAACTACAATAAGCATTTCATCTTAGCTGGCTAGACTGCTATGCATCTGGAAGGTCCTGCGACCGGCGATCTCGACATAGGTTTTCCTCTGAATTTTAGAAAATTCTGAAATGGTTCTCAAGTTCCGAGTGTGCTGCAACGTGCTCAACATGCAGCCCTCCAAATTTTAATTCATCAACAATACCCTCTTATTGTGGAGGTCACAAAATTTCTGAAATTACCGAATTAACATTTCAACATACATTTGTCAGAAATTAAAAATTCCGTTCTGTTTATTTACCACCCTGTGGGTGGGCATTGTCTGGGCACCTTCTAACAAAAGATGATATCTTTCTCCCTACATAAATAACTTTTCTCTCACTTCTCCCACAGTCTTTTATTTTCGATCTATTCTCGTACCATTCTTCGTAACTTTCTCTGTTCGTGTTCAAAAGGTTAATATATGTTACCTTTCTTTCTCGTTTTAATTTGATATCATTATGCTAACAACTTTCTGCATGGTTGCATTTAAGAAGTAGTTTTTCATTGTAATACTAACCAGCCACCAGAATACTTAAGCAGTGCCATGTCGCGAAACGTCTGTTACAGTAATTTCACCCAAGACAATGTGCAAGTGCAACAGTTGGGGTGAATAATATTTTGTCCTTACGTTTAACCCTGTGAATGCATTTTACGTAAAAAATACATTTAAGGGTTTAAGAATGACATCATTGTCACTTCTATAATGCATAGGTCATCCAGGGTATTCGATCTGTGGAAGGCAGCTTCATTGTTGGCCGAAACGTTGGAAGGATTTAATAAAAAGACGCCGAGAAGCGGATCTGGTATCGGAAAACTGAGGACGACAATCGGTATCAGTTGTCATGAAGAACGTTCGAAAGTGTGGTCAAATTATTTCAACAAACACCTTTTCACCGCAAATTAACAGCGAATGTTCAAGTGCGTAGTTTTAATGTGATCGCTGCAGGTGTCCGTTTTAACATTCTACTGCTTCTGGAAGTTTCTATCTACCTACAGACGAATTTCGAATGAGCAGGAAACAATTTACAGCAGAAACACGAACTACTTTGCTAAAAGGGAGTGTTTCAAATAAACTGTTTTAGACATTGTAACCAACGTCTGATTATTTAAAAATGTTAAAGTAATTAATGATTGAATTGAAAGTCTCTTGTATAATGTTCGTTTATATTTAAATTGTAAGCGGAAACTTTAATTAACGCCACGTAGACAGGAATTAACACGGAGTGATTGATTTTCGTAGAGTGGAGTATTATTCGTTTGAACACACTAGATTCAATGCGCAAATTAAAACTTGTTCTGACCCATGTAAAGTAACTGTATAAGACAGATCATCACTGATTAATTTTAATGACGAATTAAAAACATGTAGTTTAAGAACCAAGGGAATTTTTATCTTAATTTTGTTTTATATCTTGAGTACTGCTGATAATTAATTTTTTTTCTTTCTGAAATGTTGTAAAATATTCGTTTCACCGGGAAACGGCATCTTGTATGTTCTGCTTAATAAATTGAAGGTGAGTGAGATAAGGTGATGACGAAACACTTGTGGTAGCTTACTGTGTCCTGTTTGTTCTGCCTTGATTAAACTCGCGATACGGGCATACTTTATACAGATTATCGAAGAATCTGATTGTTACCAAAAAATATTGCATGAAAGAGCAGGAAATGGTCGTGTTATCCGAGTAGGCCGTTTTACGCGGGTATGCCATACAGTTAAGCTCTTATTTTTTTCACGAGGTTGAAATGCCTCTTTTGAATTAGGTTACTTATAAAGGACATCTATTAGGCCTATAGGTTAGGATACTGAAATGTGTGTTCAGTCAAAATTGGAGCAAGAGTGTATTGTAAAACATTTCCCCGGAAGTCTAAGAGGGATATGAGAAGATAATATTAAAATGAATTTACCTATAACGGATACTGATCTCAATTAAAAAGCCTTTGAACCATGTGATCGTTTCTAGTAGCTGTATCAAATATTTAAATAGTCCTAACACTGCCAATAATTCAGTTAACAGCACAGTAAGAGAAATATTCTATCTCATTATTTGTCTAGAAGTACTGAGGAAAATCACGAAAACTCGGGTTAAGGTTATCCGGCCTTTGGGCCGAGATATGAAGCCTTGACCTTCCGAATACGATATAGGAGTGTTTGCCATTCGATCGCGACGTTCGATGAAAATAATTAATGATCCACTGCCACACTTTATATAGGACAAGGTCTCTTGTAGTTCTGCATTACAGTTTAGTAATCTCCCAGACTTGTTATAACACACTTTAAGACGACATAATCCGATGTCTTGTTTCTTGTTGTATCTCCGATGTGAATTTCGAGTAATGAGATAGATTTGGGACGGAAGTGGCTGTTAGTTTAAACGGCTGCACCAGTCGGCGGTATCGGGAGGAAATGACAGCAGAAAGTCAACAGACTTTGTCTTTTCATCCGGCTAACTCCTGTTCTCAGCTAACGCTGACAGCTATAAAGATTTTTGAGTTTTGTGTAACTGATTAATCTTAACAAAATGGTGTGTAGCGATGTGAAGTTTGTTTGGCTGAGGAGCGTGGAATTTCTTGAGTAGCAAAATTACTATTTACTCCTCAAGGAGTACTCTGTTCTTTGGAGTTAGTTACAGGTCTCAGTTCTTGTTTAAAATGCAAAAGACGTGCTCTGTGTACTGAGTTAATACTTCACTGTGTCTGTCTTGAAACACCGTTGCAGACTGCTTCGTGGCTTTCCTCTTGTAAACACATGGCGCTGCTGGTTCAGTTCTGTGGTAATTCTGATTTATATAGGCCATTTAGAGGCGAGGTCAAATGTCGATAAACCTCTCGCCTCGCCACGCCACTGATTTTGTTTTATTTTATTTTTTATTGTTTTTGTCTGTATCAAACTCGGTAGCCAATGGGCTGAGTAACGATATACATGCAAATGTCAGGCTGGTGCCATGTGTCTAGTTGGTATTATTTAGTGTGGGGTGTGTTTTGACAGGTTTTTAGTAACGTTTAGCGTCAGAACGTATAATTCATAAGTAGTTACATGAAACTTATATTTAGTGTTTAGTGATAACTCATTGTCAGCGAACTGTAAAATAGTCTGTTTTTCATATTTTTTGCACCAGGATACAAGACAAAATTAATGCATAGACGTGGCTAATAAATGCTCGGCAGATTTTAAATATTTAATAACGACAATAACGAATAAAAATTGTTCTTAAAAAGTAAATTCAATAGTGAGAATGTTCACAACCTTGTAATCAACGTTTCCTTTTGTCTGTCCGCCTGGTACCTAAAAACTTAAGTATTAAAATATATACAACCACAGTTTACCCGTTGTTTTTATATGGGTTAGAAAATTGTCTCGTACGATAATGGAATTGGTGTACTCGAGGTGAAAAATGCCATATAATCACTTATAATAAGCTTTCGCCCAATAAAGACTGATAAGAAGCACAAATATTCGTCTAACTTCCCCGGGATTTTCTCGTGATTCGTGAATAGTAATTTTCAATTAGTTTTTTCATGAATCGTCATCAAAGATGTTAACGTGTGTTTCTTTTGCCCTAGGTTGCGCTTCAGGCCTCGCTCCAGCAAGACAATTCTGGAACTCCAGCACACTGTTGCATTGCTCTCGGGTGAGTAGCACTAACTAACCTCTTTTACTTCGGCATCTAAAATTATCTCTTTGACCGCTCCCATTTGTAAGTGCTCTAAAGTTATAGAGTGTTTGTTTCTCATGTGTGGACCGGAAGCCTTATTGATTGAGTAGCTAATTGTCATTCAGTCCGTTAAGACATTTCCCGCATTTTATGAATCCGAAAGGTGTATTGTAGTTTTCATAACAGCCTGCCACTTTATCCTACAGATCCATTTTAATATTATACTCCCATTTACGTCTATGTCTCCGAAATAGTCTCTTCCCTTTGTGTTAACAAGTCTTTATATATCTTTTCTATGCGTACTACATTCGCCACTCATCGTCCTTGATTCGATATTTTATTAATAATATTATAAGCGCACAAATTGTGAAATGTTTTCAACAAAAAAAGGATTTTTTTTTCAGATGTTGAAGGGCTGTCAGGTTTTGAATAAGTACATTTCTCCGTGAAATTGTTTGATCTAGAATCGTCAGTTTCTACTGCAGGAAGTACCAGAGTCCTATTTAATTATCTATTTATTTAGTTTGCTGATCGTAAAGTGTAATTCATCTGAGTAACCACTTTCCCGTGCCATGCGTAAGTGCCAGTGATAGAAACGAATCTATTTTGTCAGTGTGCGTTCCGTGTGAAGCTAGAGCCAGCAGTTTCTCTTCAAATATGGACACATCAGAATCTGCCTTGCCTCGTCTGTTCAGTCTTCCATCTCAAATTGGTCCACTCACTTCACTTTGCGTGGAATTGGTCAGCCCCATATTTGCATGTTTCATTATGCACGATTTGTTTGGTCTTCAGCTGGTATTCACCAGCAAGAAGTAGAAACTGACTTTTTCTGTCTCTGCTGACCCAATCAACCGGGTTACCGAAACATACACACATTTCATCTCTGTGGTCCCTTGTCAGTCAGTTTCACACCGCTGTCAAACTGTGCCAAAAAGCTGACGGTGGTCGTTTTAAACACCCACGCTAGATTAACTAATTCACTAAGTGTCAATGGTGACGCAGGTAATGGTTTAATTTATTAAAGTGTATCTATTTTATTAACTGAATGCGTACATACATATTTATTGGACATACTGTAGATATGAATTTCAGTGCACATTAGTGTTGGCTTGCGTCTTTGTTGTAGCTCCTGCTTCGAACCTGATTCGGATTGCTGGCCAAATGAATCCATTCCACGCCCTCCAATTCTTCTTCCTTCCCTAAGATACATTTTAATATTGCCATCCACACCTACACCAAAGTCTTCCGAGTTTCCCCCTCCCTTCAGGCTCTCCGGACACTTTCTACGTATTTTTCATCTCCCTATGCGCTCTGCGTTTCCAGCCCATCTCACCCACCTTGATTAGATCATTCTTCCACCTCTGTCGCTACTCATCCGCCATCTTCCCATATGAATCCCGTGCGAGCTTCTGGTAAACAATTGGCTAATATGAGCTAATGCTTTTTTTAGAGTTATTGTACTCGAGCTCGCTGACTTTATGTCATGCTGAAAAGTAAATATTGAAATTATTTTTCAAAGAGACTTTCTTTGCTGTGGCAAGAGGCAGGGGACGAAATGAAGTACCTTCATAATAATAAATTAACATTGCCATGGGCAGAGAATTTTTGAACAAAAATTACAGGCAGCTCATAAAAACACGCGTAAAATGTATGTACAGCGCAAAGAGACGAAGGGTATCGAAAAAAGTAGGGTTATTGACTACGTCCTGCAGCTATGGGGAATGACAGTATGTAATGGCGTTCATATTCCAACCTTTGGTCAGTAGTTACTATTTGTTTTTACGTTCTTTTGAGCTTTTTTGTGGTCGTAATCCGGTGTTTGCCCTTTAAAACACCGCAGGTCACGTACTTTGTGTCCAGCCTGTGTGTCTATGGGGATACTAAACTAAACGTACGTCAAATGTCTGCCCCCTTTTTTTATTTCTATTGTTTTGTGGGCTACTGAGTGTGCTAGATCCTATTCTTTAGTCCGCGGTTGAACCCGCATCGCCCAACATTTACACGTTGCTGCGTGTTTAAAAATGACCTCCTTTAGAACTCTTTTGAGTGGCGTTCAGAACTTTGAGATTCAGACAAGAAGACTGGAAGCCAGAAGGCAGTGCTGGCCGGGTTGTGGGAGCTCAAGGGTCATTAAGATGAACTATCCCATTTGCCTTTGAATTTATTTCTGCTCTACATTCTATATTTAATTTTCACACCTTCCTTTTATTTGTCTGTCTTCCGTTCTGTTTGTTATTGTTTTTCTGTCTTACTTTCTTGAAAATTTGCCTTCCCTTAATTCTGTCTTTCATTCTTTATTTGTTTACTGTCCTCGTCTTCATTACTAAAGACCTGAAGAAGGAAAGAATATATTCCTCCAAAACTTTAATATCTACACACAAGTTCAAATGGTACCACGACCCAGAACACCACTATACAGCTTCTATAGTTGATATAGCTTTGATAAATAGCCACGCTATTGCCGAAATGTTCTACTACGGATAAAATTGTTGCCTCGTGTTGACGGTCAGACACGTGGCTGTGTCAGAGCTAAATGTCGTCACGGTGTTAAGTAAGATATACGAGTATGAGTGAGTGTAAAGTTGGAAGTCGTAGAGAGTTAAAATGCTTATTATCATAGAGTTCTTCTGAGAGGCTAGTCATGACATTTGGCTAAATGAATGGCGAGTCAAGTTATTTAATGCGAGGGGGGAGGGGGGGCAATGGGTCTGTGTTGACATCATTATTAAGATAAACTCTTCCAGAGAAGTTCTTCCTCATCTTTATGACTCATTTTCATACAAGAAACCAGCCGAGTTGCCACTGAATTTCTATTTTCCCTTTGAGATCACTGTATTTGTAGATGGGGCTGTCTTCTGGGTTGTTCTGCCGTGTAGCCTGGTAGAAGTTTACCGACGTTTCAGATGTTCTTACTGCGTCTATCATTAGGGCGTTTGCATTGATTATGAAGACAGCAACAGGCTCTGAAACGTCGGTAAACTTATTGCTCTCTTCCCTTCAGGTTGTGTGATTACAATTTAGTACGCATTTATCGTCACCTCTGCGTGCTACATACCCAATAATCAATCATAGCAGCACAGTGTTTGTTCGGTTAGTTTTTTCAATACGCTATCTATTTTGATTAATTGTACAGTTTTTTGTATTCGTAAATTTTTATATATCTCCCACAAAAATAAACTGTTTGTTGAAATTTTATTTAAGGTTTAATAAAGGGGATGAGAATATAGGCTGTGAAACTGTTTAAAA